CAGCAGTTTCCTCGACCACTAGATGAACGACAACAGAAAGCGAAGCTGAAGGACAGACTATACGACGAAATATAAAGGCTAACGGCAAGTACATTCGACGTATTTATTTGGTTGTCGATCAAGTGATTTCTTTCATCCCTTATCATTTTAAAAAAAAGGGCATACAATGGCCGATAAAGCTAAACTTTTGATACAGAAACGAACATCTTTAAAGGCACAAATATTTAATTTATCGAAGTTATTACAAAAGGGTCGATATGATAAATCCGCGCTAAAATTACGCATGATACGTGTTACTGAACTTTATCATGCTTACGAAGAATACAATGACGAACTTATATTACTAGATCCGAGTGATAGCCATACTGATGAATTCGCACACATACAAGAAAGATACTATTTGCTCGCTGGCAAAATCGAAGAACTAACAAGTTCTAATACTTCTAATGCGGTCGCTGGTCCTTCTAACGCGGTAGCTGGTTCATCTAATGACACAATTTAACATAACAACGCGAATGTCATCGTCGTCACGAGACCGCGAATAAAATTGCCAGAAGTCTCTTTACCTAATTTCAATGGTCGATACGAGAACTGGCTATCATTTAAAAATACCTTTCTCGCAATGATAGATATCCGCACAGATTTATCTGATATAGAAAAACTGCAATATTTGCAATCAGCATTAACGGGTGAAGCCGCTAATAAAATAAAAATTCTATCAATTATAGGCTCGAATTACGTGGGACATTACGTGGGACAACGCCAAAACGTGGGAACTTTTGAAACGTGCATATGAAGTCAAACGAATCTTAATTTCACGACATTTATCGTCACTATTAAATCTGCCTACTTTAGAAAGGAAAACGACAGACGGTCTGTCAAGACTCGCCGACGATGCACAGCAACACGTTGCATCGCTAGCTGCGTTGGGAATTAACGTCGGGTCTGAAATACTCGTAAACTTATTAGAGAGTAAATTACCTAGAAACATCGCAGAAAAATAGGAAGAGTCGCTTAGCCGAGACGAATTTCCGAAAATCGACGAGTTATACGAATATCTATATAAAACCGCAGTTCGAGTTTCGAAACGTAGTCGAACAGAAGTTTTCAAACGGGAAGATAACAAAAAATCGTCTTTGGCAAAAAAGAGGCGAACGTCTAATAAAACATTTATAGTTAACGCGGCTAACAATTGCGTAGCTTGCAAGGTTAAACAACATCAGTTATTTAAGTGCGACAAATTCAAAAAAATGAGTGTACCCGAACGCATCGAGGTCATAAAAAACGCAAAGCTCTGTTTCAATTGTATGCGTTCCCATAGAGGCGTTCCCTGTGTTTATACTACTTGTACCATATGTCAAAGATGGTATAACACCCTCTTACATCTTGATAGACATCCAGTTACAACCACAAAAACTGACGCTACTGAAACGAAAACTGAAAAATCCAAATGACTAGCAGAGATATCGAGCGATAATACAATCTGTCTTGCTACGATCTCACCCGCGTTTATACCTCAATTAATGACGACCGCCACGGTATTTGTACGGAATTGCGAATGCCATTTAGTAAAATGTCGAGCACTACTAGACACATGCGCTACAGCTAACTTTATTTCTGAACGATTAGTGAGAGAATTAAGACTTTCTGTTACTTCATGCGCCTTACCGATCGGCACAATTAATTCTATGAATACAATATCAAAAGGTGTTGTCCAATTCAACCATTCAATCATTGCACAATGAATTCAGTAAAAAATTAACAGCTCTATCGATTCCAACAATATCAGATTTCGTTCCGTCCAAAATATTTCCGCGAGATTCCGTCAAAATACCATCTAATATCAAATTAGCCGATCCAGAGTTCCACGTACCGCGTTTGGTCGATCTATTGATCGGTGCTAGAGCAACATTATCATTATTTTCAATAGGTCAAATAAATCTATCTCATAAGGACCATGATTTGTATTTACAAAAAACACGGTTTGGTTGGGTCGTAGCAGGCGAAAGCGCGTCATTTTATAAAAAAATCAACATATGCTCGTTGACTAATTTAGAACAACAAATCACTAAATGTTGGACAATCGAGGAAATAACAACAGATAAAACTAGATCCACAGACGAACTTGATTGTGAAACACATTTCATAAAAAACGTTACTCGAAACAACAATGGACGTTATGTAGTCCAACTGCCATTCCGCGAAGGAAATAATCGGCTCGGTGAATCGCGCTCTATCGCTCTCAAACGATTACATTCTCTCGAACGAAAACTCAAATCTGACCCGGAATTGAAGACAGTCTATTCACAAATCATACAAGAATACATAGATCTAGATCACATGTCTCTGATAAACGAACCACACGACAACGGATTTTACATGCCGCATCACGCAGTAATAAAGGCCGCAAGCAACACCATCAAAGTCCGCGTAGTATTCGACGCGTCAGCTTTTGCTGATAAAAACAAATAATGGTACATCATTAAATGACATATTATTGGTAGGATCCACGATACAAGACAATCTATTCGTGCATTTACTCAGATTTCGCACCTATAAATACGTTCTTACAGCGGACATCGAGAAAATGTATCGGCAGATACTACTGCATGAGAACGATCAAATATATCAGCGTATACTTTGGCGTCAAGGAGATCAAATTAAAACCTTTCAGCTTAAAACTCTCACCTTCGGCGTATCATCATCCCCGTATCTCGCCATACGTACAATTCATAAATTAGCAGACGACGAATGCAAGGAATATCTCATTGCCTCTAAAGTTCTCAAAACGCATTTATATGTAGACGATTTGTTAACGGGTACAAGCACAATTAGTGAAGCTCGTAGATTAAGGAACGAAATAATAGCAATACTTTCCCGAGGCGGATTCAACATTCGACAATGGGCCTCAAATGAAAGACAGATTATTAACGATTTGGAATCTAAAAATGTAAATGCAAATATCGCACTTGACAAAGACAATCCATTGAAAACACTAGGCGTTACATGGCGCGCGCGTAACGATGTATTATCTTATTCAGTCCATTCGATTAATCACACCGAAAGAATCACGAAGCGGATCGTTCTTTCCGAAATTGCGAAGATTTTCGATCCTTTGGGTTTCTTAGGGCCGGTCATATTATACGCTAAAAAATTAATGCAAGAATTATGGCAATGCAAACTCGATTGGGATAAATCAATTCCCGCGAACATACATACTAAATGGAACGAATTCACAACACAATTGAATTTGATTAATGAATTATCTGTCGACCGTTCAATATTAATTTCTAAACACACCGACGTACAAATTCATGGCTTTTGTGACGCGAGCAACGTAGGTTACGGCGCGTGCATCTACATTCGTTCAAGCAACTTACATAACAATATACTTTGTAGCCTTTTATGCGCTAAATCTCGAGTTGCACCATTGAAAAACGTGACGACACCTCGTCTCGAATTATGCGGCGCGCTTCTATTAGCTAAACTATATCATGAAACACGCGAGGCTATAAATCTCTCATTTAGCAAAGTAATATTATGGAGCGATTCGAATATTGTTTTGCACTGGATAAAAACTTCACCTCATCTTTTAAAGCCATACGTGTCACATCGCGTTGCTCAAATCCAAAATCTCACCGACTCTCAAATTTGGCGATACGTTAGATCCAGGAATAACCCAGCCGACGCGCTTTCAAGGGGACAATTGCCAACCCGGGAAAAAATGCCCATGCTTGATCATACATAAGAATACATATTCATGTGTGGAGACTCCATACATGTCTATGTATGGATTTTGACCTGACATGGTCATGTACAATCATATACGCCCATGCACAATTATTCACGGTTGTATACAAGTATATATGGCTGTATATGATTGTACACTGCCATATACGGCCATGTATCAGGTTAAAAATTAATAAATAATGAAACAGTATTCATGAAAAAGGAAAAACTTTATTATTAAACCTTGATAAAGTTTACAAAAAACCATCAAAAATTTTTATAGCAGTCAATCAATATTTTTTACCAGTACAAAAAAATAAAAAGTCCTTTTTTTTTAATTTTGTAACGTTAAATAAATTATATTTAATAAATTATGTTTTAATTTTACGTAACGTAATAGAGGTTGTCTTTTTTAATTTTAAGCAACTTAAATAATTTTAAATCTCATAGTAGATTAATAAAAAAAAAAATTTTTTTAATTTTAAAAAACGAAATGAGCACAAACACCCGTTCAAAAAAATTACTTGTTTTGGGCATCAGCGTTTTTCAGCTCTCTTTTTATTTCGCCCAGTTTTTGTGACATCGCGGTATTTAGTTCCTTGATAGATTGTGTTACCCACCCTTTTCTTTTTGCCAATTTCATTGCATAATCTGTAAACAAAAACATAATTTTTATACATAAATATATAACATTTTATCGCTATATAAATACGGAAATAATAATTGTGGCATAATTGAAGAATAAATATACATTACTAACCAATGATACTATTTCTTGCGTGCAAGTTTAAACAAGTGATGTCGTCTTTGTTTTCATGCACTCCGCGGTGACTTGCGCCCGTGAATGTGCAGTTCTTTAAGCTCTCAAGCTTAAATACGCCTACAATTAGGCGGCGGACAATATGGCTCGCCTTGTGCGACGAACTCAATGCGACTTCCAAAACGCGTTCATTGCAGAACACCCCATCCTGCAGTAAGACCATCTGTAAAATATTAGTAATATTTACTATCATAAATGTTATTTTTTCAATATCAAATATTATTCTTAAGATTGCAATATATATGATCACAATTTCAAGATATGCTTTTTTTAATGTAAAATTGCGTTTAGAAAACATTTAGGAATCTTATTAAAGGCATAGGAACTGTATTATTTTACCTTATCGCCTGGCGAATTTTGTCCTAATAATTGGTCGTTAGATTGCAGATTACGCTCGTCAACTGTAGTTGATGGGTAATCATCATCATTATATTCATCATCATCCATAATCTTATTAGTAGTTTCTTTTGCCTTTATATTTTTGATTTTTGATTCTGAAAGTGATAACACATTAAAATACAAGTATATTATTACAGTATTACAGTATATTATTTTTTTAAGTAAAGTTATTTATTCAAATATATTCATCAATAAATAATCCTCACTAATAATTTTTTAATATTTTCCAATAGTTAAAATTTATTCTTTTCTAAAATTTCTATAATTAAAAAATGCCATACCTAGATCCTGTCGCAAATCCTTATTTTCGTCATCTACTATTGAATAATAATTTCTTGAAAGCTCTTTGGTCTCATTTTTTTTAAGTGCTGGTAACTCAGATTTTTTCCGCGGCTCCAAAACTGGTGCGTTTGACGCTATTTTCATTAATGCCGCGATATCTGATTGCTTCTGCTGTGCATAATGCTGAATGATAATCAGAGAGTATTATACTGATTCAGTTTGATGAATAGCAATTAATATGTAAAATATTCATAAAATATAATTACCTTTTTTTTTGCGATTTTTTCGGGAGTTGTTAATTCCCTGTTTGACTCATCTTCTGACCACGAAGCATTTTTCGAATCGGGAGAACTACTTAGGTTACTGTTTTCGATGCTGATCGATTTTTCTTTCTTTTGGATATCGATCACTTTTGAAACTTGAGCCTGCATTGCCGAAGAAAGTTTCTCCTGCCAATTTGCACTTTTATTGCTTTTCTGAAAAAAGAGTCAAAATTTCATTACATTTTAAGAGATATAGGGATATGTATATTAAAGAAACAAAGTAAAAATTTTAATATATATGATTTAATCAGGGCTGGGCAAACACATTTGAAATCAAAATACAAAATACTAACAATTTTAGTATTTATTGCAAAATATCTTCTAATTTTTTAATTTAAAATACAAAATTTTTGTATTTTAAATCGGAAATTAAAAATTAAAAGTATTTTGTATTTTATAATTTAAATACCAAGATTGTGTTAGCTTTGTACATTTTGTATTTCAAATATTTTATTGTATTTGAAATACAATTTGAAATACATTTTGCCCAGCCCTGGATTTAATATATATTGAAAATACTTACGGCTCCATTCCCTTTCAATAAAACATTTCGTGGTTTTTTATTCTCGCCCGACAAGAGTTTAGTCTCTGGCGACCACCTTTTTACAGATGCTTTTTTACGACTAGAGCCCAATTCAGACCGATCTATTACTTTCGATGCTTCCGATTTATTGCATTTACTTTTTGACGCGCGTTTATTTTTTTCTTCAGCTTTCAACATTTTTATTTTCTCGTCAATTTTTGTTTCATCATCTATAACATATATGTAAATAATAATGTTTCACTTTAAATGTGTAATAGTCTATATATAGTCTATATAGTCTATAAAATTATAAAAATTTTTAACATTTTTTGGATATCGAACATTAACCCTTTGAAACACCATGTTACTCCTAAGCAACACCTGAGAGAATTGGAAAAAAATAGAATTTATTAATGAATCTTCATGCTGTTTGGCATAAATATAGTCGAAGGATACCTGCATCAAAGTACTGATTACATACATATGAATTTGAATAAGAAGTACATATATATAAATAAACAGTTAAATATATAATCTATGATTGAGTTGAGAAGGGTTGCACATCCAGCCATACATTATTTATGTTCATGGGCAAAGTAACGAGAAATATTTTGTGCTAGGAGATGGCTGGATGATAGATATCCAAAGGCAGATACAATTGTCGCCTTATTCTGTCGCCTTAATATTCTGTATAAATTTTATTACATATTTAATGTTTGATATCCAGAAAATGTTAAAAATTTTTATAATTTTATAGACTATTACATATTTAAGATGGTTAAAACAACAAAAAACATTAAAATATTTATTTATTATATTTTGAAATTTTATGCATATAGTCTTAATTAA